ACTAATTAATTAATGATTCAATACAAAATTAAGAAAGCTACTATCACCTTCTGGCAGTGCCATAGGATGGTAGGTAAACAATGGGGACTTTCACTCAAGATAACACTATGGCTCTGCAAAACGGTGATAAAACCCATGAACAGTTACGGCGGGATAGTATGGTGGCCACGGACCGAGCTGACGACCGCAACCGACAAGCTGGACAAATTCCAAAGACTAGCCTGCATGGCGACGATTAGCTGCATGAGGACAACTCCTCCAACTGCGGCCCTCGAAGCGAAGCTGGACCTGCGACCCCTCCCACTGTTCATTAGACAGGAAGCGGCATCAACGGCAGTGCGTCTAAACAGAGCAGGCCTTTGGAAGCACATGCATATGTGTACCAAATTTCAAAATAATCAGTCCAGTAGGTTTGGAGTAAATTGGCTGTGACAGACGGACAGATGGACACACAAGTGATCCTATATGACTATCGTATTTCGGAACAGAACAGAACTCTAACAACAACAAATTGCTGATTTGTTGTTGACGAGAGTAGTACTACACAAAAATCCATTAATTATATAAATAAATAAAGTTTAGATAAAAAATAAAGACATATGAATAATGTGGGTATAGAACCAAAATGTAGCTTTACTCTTTGCTTGCCTCTAAAGGAAAACCATTTTTCCTCAATGAGTTTGCTGCATATTTTTGAAAACTCTTTGGGAACCCAGACTTCTCTCTTTAGCATTATAAGCCATTTCTGTCGTACCACAATGTTTTGAGGAAATCTGAATCAACAACAATAATTAACATTAAAAAAATGGGTGCCTCAACTACGCTATTAAAATAAATTTTCGTTTTAATGAAGACAAAAAATAATGCACTAATGCAATATTAATGAAATATAAAGTACTAAGTCCAGAAATTTCTGATTCAATAATATTAAGTACGAAGATGATTTCGGCTGTATGCAAGCCACGCCTTTGCCTTTCTTTTTTTCAGTTAATGACACCTCGATAACATATTATCGATTGCGTCAATCTCTATGAAAGTGGGTTATGAATTTTAGAAATTCACATATTTGATATATTTTTTAATTGAATTCGTATACATGTGGGTTATTAATGCACTTGAATGGTATAATTTTACGGATATATTTATGTAAAAAACTTTTGTGGTAGTGCTTTTAGACAGTAAAAATTCAAATAGTACTTACATGTGAAATGTACAATTCTGCGAGTTTTCCATTTTAGATGAGTTACATCTGGGCACTGAACACGTTACCATGACCAATAAACATCCGTTTAACACTATTTCACATTTTAAAACCAATTATTTTTCAAAAATAATTGTACCTACCGTTTGTACCTGCTAAGATACTTTCATACGTCTTAGAAAGTAACCAAGGAATGAAATTTCTAAAAGGTGCACCAATTGTGCCCGTTAGTATCGCTTTGGAACTTCGCTACGGCAGCCCCATATCTTTCTACATTACTTTTAATTATAGTGACCCACCGTACAGACCCTTAAGGTATACGAGAAGGGCACTATAACCAGTGCGTTCACAGGAACCTTCTAAGTTCAGGTACTGACCCCAGATCAGCCAGTGTACAGAGTTGTCACAGACCGTTGTCACTGACTTCATCTAGTTCTCAAGAGGCTAGTGCCTTGGATGAGCTGCCCCGGGTGCACATACAGCACCCTCCCTGTTTTTCAAATAGGTACTGGAGCTGTAAGCACGCTCATTTCCCGTTGCACATTGAGTAACTAACACTTGCCACCACTAAGCCGATGACTCTAAAGTGCACTACCAAATCTCCACCTTGGTGGCGGAGCTGTAGGCACGCTCACCTCCCGACGCCAAAGCGTCTCTTCAGCTCCCAGAAACCTACGCGGCTGAAATGGCCGGAGGATATTTAGCTTTTCCTCTACTAGTTCTCCGAGGTAGTACCGGAGATGCCGGTCGCAGTGTCTTACGCCGTCTCGCCGCCTAGACCATTACTAAGACGCGCTAGCTACGCGCGGGACGAACGCCCCAGTCACATGCTAACGGGGCAGGTGAACGTGTTCATCCCTGCACCTAACCACAAGCCCCGGCGACTCCATACCCAAGTGTCCGTAGTCTGGGTCTGCCAGAGACGCACATGAAAGCGTATCACTGGCGGAGTGCTCAGCCCCAACGCCCGCCGTACCCTGGTCGTACCGGGGAGCCCGTAGTCTCCTTGAAACTGCCTATTTTTCGGGTCGGTAGATAGGGACAACGGCAAGCACCTTATCTTTCTACGTTAGTTTTGATTATAGTGACCCTCCCTATCTACCCTTAGGACATACGAGAAGGACACTATAACCTGTGCGCGCACGGGAACCTTCTAAGTTCAGGTTCTGACCCCAGATTAGCCAGTGTACAGGGTTCTCACAGACCTCTGTCACTTGATTTCATCCGGTTCTTCGAGAGGCTAGTGCCTCGGGTGAGCCGCCCCGGGTGCATGTTGGGCAGCAGTTGCAACCGCTAACCCGTTGACTCTGAGTCTACTACCAAATCTCCTCATTGGTGGCGGAGCTGTAAGGCACGCTCACTTCCCGACGCCGAGAAACGACGTCTCTCCAGTTCCCAATAACCTAAGCGGCTGGAAGGACCGCAGGATATCTAGCTAATCCTCTACTAGCTCTCCGGGTCAGTGCCGGATATGCCAGTCGCAGTGTCCTGCGACAATGTCCAGACATAGCTTCCAACTTAAAGGGCAACTCACGTGCCCCGCGCGTCTCCTCGCTTCAAGCCCTCAACTAGACCGCTACTAAGACACGCTAGCTGCTCACGAGACAGAAGCCCCGGAAGCATACCAAACCGGGGCCGTCCATCTCTCAACCCCAGCAAGTCCATACCCAAGTCCAAGGGCTGGGCCCGGACGACCGCTGTACCCTGGTCTTGCCGTCGAGCCCGTAGTCTCTCCAAAAAACTCTATCTCTCGGGTCAGTAGATAGAGAAACCGGCAGTAAACATTAATTTAGAGTAACTATAGGGCTCCTTATGAAAAATTTTATGACAGGGAATCACTGCCACCATACCCTATTTCTGTCACCAAACAGTAATGTGAGCAATATGCATTCCGCTAAAATGCAATAAAAGTACAGGCACATGGGACTTATATACTTTATGTCTCATGGCGACAGATGCAGTGACAGCGCCCTTCAGATCTTTGCAATTTAAAACTCTGAGTGGTATTAATATTAAAAGACTTGTTGCATACTACCAGTCGCCCAACTTGTTCCACCCGTCGTTTAATATTATAAATACGTTAACGTATAAAGTATATTTACACATGATCATGCTATTTTATTACTTACCTATAATTCTGAAGTCATCGATAAAAATAGGCAAAATTCACACAAGTAAATTGAGAGACCACGTATACTCTCAATGGTGTATAAACCTGGGTTTCGCGATTGGAGTCGATCCTTCACTCAGCGATAAAGAGTACAATTGAGTGGATACGGTGCAACTACAGGCACACTTTCAAGGTGATGACGAATGTTACAATGCCCCTCGTATCTTTGCGATTTAACGCTTTGTAAGTGACACTACACTGCTGGATAAGCGTGTCGCTTACCACCCTTCACCCCGTCACTTGATGTTATATGAAAATAAAATAAACTTTGAAATTTTCCTCTATTTGTATTGTTAAGGTTTTTTGTGAAATTACTCCACTAGTTTTGTTATGATTTTTATTAATATAAAGGTCCAACAAATGGAAAAATTTCTCCGATCCGGTGGGACTGACTTGAATCCACGACCATGCTGCACCGTAGCTTTGCTCTTACCAACTCTTACTCTCATATATGTTTTTATTATAGATCTTTATTATTCTAGCTTTCGTCATTCGTCGCCGCTAGTGACATCTTGTGACAGATTTTTCCTCGTTTCTTTGGACATTTTGATGACGACTCGTCGCAATCGACATCATCAAAGTAACGTTGGCGCTTCATCTCATCGATAAAGATGTAGAAATAACGATATAATACACTTAGTTCATCAGATTTTACTTATCCAAAATAAACTATACAATCATCATAATAATATTTTTTATACTTACCTATAAATTGTAGAGGTAATAAAAATATAAATGCAATCAAAAATTAAATAAGCTTTTTTTTGTATTTTATGGCAATAGTTTCACAAAGCATTTAGGTAATACTTGTCTGTCATTATAAAATTAGTTAAAGAAATACTGCAATCCAAGCGGATCTCAGTACAGAGTACTAAAAAAACCGACCTCAAAAGTACGTGGAATTACGTCTATTTGCTAAGTTTGATTGAAATATCCCCTAGTTCGCCACTATACAGGACTTTACACTGGAGATAATAAAAAATCGGTTCTCACTACTCAAAGTACATACAGATATATTGAGAGAAAAACGTCTTGAATTGGAGAAATAGCAAAATCAAATTAATTCCATTAAAGTAATTGCTCCTAAATTAATGTTAGGCGCTATTTATGAAAATGAATCTTCATGCGTGAACAGCCACCCTTCAAGATGATTTTTTTCTTCAAAATGAAATGGAACCACTATGGAAGTACCCCCTTTCCAACAAAAAAAGAATCATGAAAATCGGTTTACAAATACCGGAGTTATCGCGTAACATACATACAAAAAAAATACAGTCGAATTGAGAACCTCCTCCTTTTTTGAAGGCGGTTAAAATTTCAATTTCTTCTTCCATTCTTCAAATTCTATTTTCTGTAGTTTAATAATCGGATTACAAAACTCTTAAAGTAAATTGTTGTTCTTATGTGAAACATTCCCAATGTTTGTTTAGTACAAGTAACTGTGGGATGTGGATGCAAGGAACCAAGTTGTAACATTTCAAATCTATAGCAACAATAGTATCTCACGTCCAGAAGCGCTGATATAGAGAGAAATCATCGCATCGTAAAGCTTGTTTTTAACCGTTTCGGCCCGGAACCCTAAAAACTAACAAGACAATTGATTACGCTTTTACAAAAGTATAAAATGGTAAGTAATGTTTATTTCCACTCCATTCCTGTAGCAATCATGGGACTCCAGCATATTTTTCTCATTCAGTTAATATATACCGCGTGTATTGTAACTTACGTAAGTAAATAACCTTAATTACGTTCCCAGTAAAAACCGTTTTACAAAATCTGTATAGAAGATCAATATCACAACTGAAGACTTCATTCTATTCAATTCAACATTCAAAATGTTTTCTTGCATTCGTGTTAGTAGAACTCAAACATGGACCCTGTAAGGACACAGCAATGTCAATTATTCTACATTCTAAATAAATCTAAACCTGTATCACAGTTTTTTTTAATTCCAGGTGACGGGACGATAAAGTCCTGCGCCTCGTGGTAAGCGACACGCCTATCCATAACAGTTGCAGTGCCACTCAGAGCTTTAAATCGCAAAGATCTGAGGATCACTGCCACTCCGCCCGTCACACTGATACATGAGTTGACAAGTCCCATGAGCCCATAACTTCACCAAAGTAATAACATTATCATTTCATATAAAAAATTTAGATAATACCATCAAAAGTAAAATTAAGTAGTATACACATTGACTTACAATTATATGGACGTCGGGTCCGCGCTAAATAGTGTCCGAACTTATAGGGCGTTAAAATCGTATACAGAGCGTCATTCACGCTCTAGTCTTCGTTTGTTCGACTGACAGCGAAGCAAGCAAAATTAGACAGTACTGCGATGACATTACAATTTAAATTCATATATATTCCTTGACATGTCACTACGTTTAAATAGGTTGACTTGGGACATTTTTTTCGTGATTTTTATATTAGACCCGTCGTCCATTTATTTGTAAGTCAATGAGTATACATATTATATAGTATTTGTGTAATAGTTGATTTCAATTGAATTTTAAAACTTGAACTAAACTTAAAAAATAAATACATCACATGCGTTGCCCCGATCCTAAAGTACGTAACTAAGGCACTTGTGTTATGGAAATCGGAAACAACGACGGAGTCACAAACACCCAATCCCGAGATAATTTAGAAATGTTTTCTACATTGACCCGGCTGGGAATCGAACCCGGGGCCTCAGAGATGGTAACACCTTGAAAACCAGTATGTTGAGTGGCTTCAACCACAGAGAACGTCTGACGCTTCCCGTCTGGGGGTCTACTCTCTATCTCCGTCCGACATCCGTCCGAAACAATTACTGTCAAATAAGTAATATTCTACAAAATTAAAAGACATGTATCAAGAATGAAGCTTCATTCGCATCACGCGTCTTTTCGTTTGGTCAAGTATTGCTTATTTGGCAGTAATTGTTTCGGACGGATGTCGGACGGAGATCGAAAGTAGACCCCCTGATCCTTTGTTACCAATGGATATTTAACACGTGCATGACAATTTAAAAAATATCACTATTTTAATTTTTATTTACATTTTTATTATTACAACAATCTTCATTCAAAATTATTGTGAAAAATGAAAATATTTCTGCTATAAATACCGTACAAACCTGCATCAGCTACTGCTCCATCAAATACAACTAAAAAAAGTAATTTATTTTACAAGGAAATTGTGGGTACACATTATATTTTGAATTAATTTACAAAACCAACATTATATAACGCAATTGCCGCCGAACAAATCGGGTACAATTAATTAATTATCTAACGATTTCTGCACTTGGCCGAGCTATCTCGCAGGTAAACAATTTATCCTTTTGCTGGTATGGGAATTGTGCGAAAGGAAAAGCATTACCAAAAATAACCTTAAGAAAACGTATTTACATGACATGAATTATACATTTAATGTAATGAGTCTCCTCCCATGTGCGTGCTAAAGTGGACGGCGCAGGGTCTGTGACCAGAGCCGCCAAGAACCGCAAAAGGCTTAAATACGCCAACCTTGCTCAGTGCTAGAGCTTTGTGCCCTTTGCAGTTGAAATCCTGGGTCCCTGGGGATCACAGGCGAAAATTTTAGCGAACGAGCTGTTGGATCGCTTTGTAGAAACCTCCGGTGACCACAAGCTGGCAGTTATTTCTGCCAAAGAATAAATGAGTTTAGCAATTCAAAGGGGAAATGTTGCCAGCCTTCTGAGCATGATGCCCCAGGGTACGACACTGGAAGAAGTTTTCTAATAAACTTTCTTAGATTTTTTATGTATCTGCTGTTATAGTTTAGTTATTAGTTTGTGTTCAATAATGTATGGAAGATATAATCTCAGTACAGAGTACTAAAAAAACCGACCTCAAAAGTACGTGGAATTACATATAACTACCAAGTTTTATTGAAATCGGTTACCGGAAAGTGCGCAAACCCGGATTCATCCCCTAGTTCGCCACTATACGGAACCTGACACGGGAGAATAATAAAAATCGGTTCTCACTACTCAAAGTATATTGAGAGAAAAACAACTTGAATTGGAGAATAGCAAAATCAACGTGGAGCAGCTGGGAGGTTTTGCAACCTATTAAATTTGATGGTGGTGTGGACTGTAAGGCGCGGTTCTAGAAGAAAGTAAGGAAAGTCGGATTTACGGCTATAGCATCGAGAAAATAAAGAATAAAAAATAGAAAGAAATATTTTTTTTTTTTTTTTTTTTATTGCGACTCGACAAAATGACTGCACCGCGCCTGATGGAAAGTGCGAATACAGTCCAGAGATGAGAGTAACGGATGGAAAACTCAAATATCTTCACTCCGTCACTATCATTTTGCCGGTCTGGCCAAATGCACTGGATGTACACCAACTGATCCCTGAACGCGATTCGCAAAAGCGTTTCACTGTGGAGGGTTTTCCGCCGTGTGTACTGTGGTCGCTATCCAGTCGGCACAGAGCCTACCACAATGCTAAGCAGATGGACACTTGTGACGCCCTCGGTCGCCTCTTACGACCCCCACGGGCATGTATGGGGAGGCGACAATGTATTCTTAAGCCGTCGCCCCACGGCTAAAATTAAAATTAAATTAATTAAATTAAAATTATGAAGAGAATCTGTGCCGTACCTTGAACTCCTCGTTAAGGACGTATACGCTGGAGGTGTATATCGCCAGGGAAATATTCACACGCAAACAAATCATTTAAAATAATGTCCGTCATCCGCAAGAACAGCGTAGCGTTTCGACCTTCTTTTTATTTCTTTTTCTCGAGGTGGTCGCGGCGAGGTTCTTTTGCCGTACCGTTCATCTGTGAGCGATAGCCCAGAGGGCCCACCATAACCTTTCTAAAAACAATCTTATTTTAATGTAAGCTTACAGTAAGCTTATTATAATATTACTCATATTCATACCATGACGAACCTGTCAACCAGGTAATGTATTATTACTTTTCTTTTTTTAACTGTCAAAATTCTTTGAATGTAAACAATGACTTACAAATAAATGGACGACGGGTCTAATACAAAAACCACGAAAAAAATGTCCCAAGTCAACCTATTCGAAATTTAAATTGTAATGTCATCGCAGTATCGCGCTGTCAGTAGAACAAATGAAGACTAAAGCGGAGTGTCGCGCTCTGTATACGATTTTAGCGCCTTACAAGTGCGGACACTTTTTAGCGCGGACCCGACGTCCATATAATTGTAAGTCAATGAATGTAAATGACATTAAGTACTTAAACATTATAGTACGATAAGACGATTCGGAACATCAAAAAAGAAAGAGATGGCATTATATAGTTCACATAGCGTCATCTCTTTCCTATTTTTAGTAAGGAATAGACAATATTGGGAAATCATTCGTTCTTTCAATCACTTTTGCAATAATACATTACTTGGTTGGCGGAATTGTGAAAGTCACAAAACAAGCCACTAATAAAGAAGAAGAAGAAGATTACTTGGTTGACAGGTTCGTCATGGTACGAATATGAGTAGTATTACAATAAGGTTACTTTAAGCTTACATTGAAATAAGATTGTTATTGGAAAGGTTATGGTAGGCCAGGTATGGCATAGACGCAGGATCGAATCCTGTCAGATCGAAGGTATTTTTGTTAATGACCAATATTTTGTAGTAATTCCCTTATTAACCGACTTCAAAAATAAGGAAGAAGTTCTCAATTGAATTGTATTATTTTTTTGTATGGTTGTTACGCGATAATTTCGGCCCGCTACGCGATACATTTGTGAAGCGCTTTTGATATGTTTTTGTTGGAAAGAGGGTGCGCACGACTTATTTGTCCCGTTACTTAGTATCATAAAAAAAAAGATTGACATTTTAAGAAAATATTCCATCTCTAACTAAGTGGCAAACTAGTGGACGAATCCGGTTTCGCGCTCTTATAGATGTATACAATTCTACGAACTTTTGAGGTGGTTTTTTTTTAATAAAAAAAGTTACATTTATCTTGTTTCAGATTCGAACCAAATCTTGTGATCAAAGAGAATTTGTGGGAATTGAGGATGGAAGAGTGCTGCAGGCAGCCAGATCTGTTTTAGATAGATTTAAGCAACGTCACTCCGCCGGCCACCTAGGACCGAACGTACAGAATCTCGTTATTTCGTCACTTATCAAAGGCAGGCCAAAAGCTACATCATTCCCTAAATCAGTTAATTATAGACTTATTTTTTGTGCTGTGCCTGTGTTGGCGTGCCAGCAAAGACCTACGCCTAGGTGTCCTCTAACTCACGTTTGCTCAGCCTTCATTGATGAAAGTAGAGGACTCAGAATACTTGAAGACGATTGTTACCCTGATGTCGAAGATCGCCATTCAAATGACATGCGTATGGGTTGATTGAATAATTTATTTTGCAACATTACAGTATTAAAAAATAATTAAGCCGTTTTTATTATCCATTTACCATTATCAATACTGAAAGGTACTGAAACTTTAAGTTTTCGAAGAGTTTTTAACCGACTTCGAAAAGGAGGAGATTTTTAATTCAATTGTATTTTTCGTAATATTTTATTCTATTGAATATCAAGATGTTTGACCACAATGATATTCAATTATTACTCCACTAGTTTGTTATAATTATTAATACAAAGATCGAATGCTAAGACAAAAACATCTTCCAGCAAACCGTGCTATGCCAACTAAGCCATGGAATGAACTACCATACAAATTTTCTATGTGCTTGTTGCAGATTTTTGTTTTTGATTTTTAACGACTTATTTCCGCTACGTCGCAGCGGCGTGTAGCGGCACGGCGGCGAAAAACTTTGCAATTTCAGACAGTGCACGCGCGTCATTGATCTAACGAAGACACGTAAATTATTTGTACTGCCGCTCGCCCGATCGCCGCAAAATGGATATTTATTCTAACGTCGAATTGACTGAGATGGTGCGTCTTTACGCAATAAGTGGTGATAGTGTGAGGAGATGAACAGTGTCGAAGTGTTGCGTGAGAGGATTATCTCAGTATTTTCTACTGTGAGACAAAATGTGTTTGTGTTGTACAATTTTAAAACAAAATTTACTATGCCGTGCTAGACTATGATTGTGGAAATAGGTGGACAATTTAAACACTTGCTCCGTACCACGTCAGTGTAAATAAACTGTATATAACTAAAAAATCAATCATTATAAATAATTTGATTTCACATTTTAAACTACGACAAAAACCTCAATTCTTATTAAATGATAACTAGTTACTAAATCATAAACTTATCTTTTTAGTACGTAAAACATTTCGATGATAGTTCAAGTAAAAAATAATTAACGTAAGCTAAAACGCAAGTGTGAAATCACTGTTATTGTTGCTGTATCGCCACGCGCTCGCTTGGTAGTATTCCCATTGCAGTCGAAATCAAGCGTAAGGGGAATCGGTCTATTCCTATGTACACTTCAAAACACATTTGTTGATTTATTTTTTGTTCTATCCCAAATCCTAATTTTATTTTAGTCTATGTTAAGTTGTAACATGATTTACTATGACATGTATGAATATGTCTCACTTTCAAATGTACAGCCTGTATAAATTGAGATTTGATATTGCGTAGCCGTAGTTATAAACTTTATTGTCAAATATTTTTTACTTAATTAAGATTTATTTGCACGAATAATCCCATTTGAGCTTTGAGCTTATTATTATTGATAATAAGGACTGACTTAGAGGAATTAACATTACATTTTATTATCGTTAATTTAACTGGCTCTTTGATTGAACCAGTAGGCCTTTCAAGTCCAATTATGGCACCTGAGTGGTCCAATTAATACGACGGTGGTCCAAAGAAGACAACCGTCACATGTTTTTATTTTTCTGCTTTGTATAACAATGCTTAATAAAAAGAAACTTGTAGCGATATCTACAAGTACATGAATTTAAAACCTTTTTAAACTTCGAATATTTTTCTGTTTACATTGTGTGATTTAAAATTTAAGCCTGTTTAAAATTAAGTAGTTCAATGGTAGCAAGCTTATCCTAATTAATGTAAACCTCGCATAAAAATATGTAAATACAAAATGTACTATGTTTGTTAAGTACTGCAGCAAACTTTCACTCTTTTTGCCGATAAATATCTCTGTTACGATCAGTTTGATCATATCCCACAAACAACTGTTATCGTCATAACCAAATCACTTGAAATTCAAAGCACGAACACACCCAAAACAGATTGTTTGCTTTACTCACGCTTTGCAAACGCTCAACTGACGACGACATCGTGCTCTCGTGCATGTTCTGACGTATTCGTCGCTGCCAATGTAAATAATCCCATTTGAAAAACAGGCGTTTGTTTTAGGCGAATTCGTGAGAACTCGTCCGAACACATTTTCGTCAGAACTCGCATCCACAATAACCGTAGCATACCTTCCCAAAAACCGTAGTTGACTATACAGTCAAGTCAAGTATAGTAAGTATACACTTACTATGTTTACTTTTTGTGCAGTTTATGCACCAGGAATCCTGCCTAGAACGTTGCTAGATCATCCAATGAACTAACGTTAAAACTGCATTCGAATAAACCTAAACGACTGAGAATATTTGAAACCGGTTGCTATTCTTGAGAATCGCATTAGCATTTAAAGAGAAACAAGCGTTTATATTGATTGAATAAAATATTGTACTTTATTATGGTATTAAAAATATAATCATATAGTACATTTTATTTTTTTATTTAATTATTTATTGTACAGAAAAAAAACAATAACACATTTAGTAACAAGGAAAACGCAAAGAACTTACTGCTTATTTCTAACAGAAATTTCTTCCTGCAGACCTAAGCACAGGAGACAATAATTACAATATCGGATTTACGTTCACTACAAAAACCTACAGTATAATAAAATATATATATAAAAATACAAAAACACTTAGATAAGCACATATTTCAACTATAATACCTATGAAATGGATGGAACAGTCGACATCTATAATTTTGAAAATTGCCAAGGATTTACTATCATAAACAGTAATGAGAAGTGCATTCTAAAGTCTGACCGCTTGAACAGTCCCATATTATTCTACATAAGTTTTGTTTATAGTGCCCCTCCATAACAACCTCTTTAAGGGCACTATAAACCTGTGCGCGCACAGGAACCTTCCAAGTTCAGTTTCTGACCCCAGATCAGCCAGTGTACAGGGTTGTCACATACCTCTGTCACTTGACTTCATCCGGTTCTTCGAGAATACAGTACCCTCCCTTCTCCGTCCCTATTTTCCAGACTGTTACTTTCTGAAACTCGTATCTTAAAGCATAGAGTTACTGAAATGCAAAAAATGGATTATATATACAAACTTTGCAGGCTAATTTCACTTTCAATTTTATTAATTTCTTAATAATAGTTCCGTTATTGACTAACGTTCCGATATTGAAATCGATAAGTAGCGTGGTTATCTTTATTTCGAAGTAGGGGTGAGTATGCTATAAAACGATTGTAACGAAAAAATTCAGTCAGTTAATTTGAATCTCGTTTATTGTATAATACTCTAAGGCATTTTGTAAGATATAACTAACAATAAAAATATTTAAAAGTATTCCAGTGTTCATCTACTTCTTCTTACATTCATAACCTTGACTACAGCCGGCAGCGACAGGTCGGTACCAATCTTAAAGATCATGTTGATATAAGATCGCCCCATGCTGGATGACAGCACTTCCTTGGACTCTTCATCAACTCTTCACAAGAACCTTTACTGTTAATTAACTAAAAATAATTAGAAAATTCTCGGTGAATTACTTTTGTGCAATATAAGTGTTCTGCTAGCTTTCTCGCTACTCTCGTTGCTATATTTCTGTTTAGTCAAATAAAACATATTTACCTGCTGTAATGGCATCATTATTATCGCTTTGCCAAGTGGATCTTATTACATGGTTCCGTAGCAAGATTGCGCTGAAATAATGCTACTTACAAGGTTACACTTGTCACGCTAAGTAACGATGTTAGTTACACGTTCACGAGCCCACAAATCAACCTAAATATGTACATAACAAAGGTGCTTCTGTCGACTGCCGTAACTTATTTCCAAAAAGTTCGTTCACGGCAATGTTTCTTTCTTTACCGTAGTTGTTTTGTTTTTTGTGTTGTTTGTGTATTATTTGTTTGTGTGAAATAGGAGTGTTCTGCCGTTTATGCAGCTTAAGAGATCACATGAAGATCGGTAGTTAATGTCACTTTTCCATAATTCTGATTTAATTTCGAGTTCTTAGGTTTTTGCGATTGCTATACACCGGTTGAAATATTTCGTACTGTTAATACAATAGTGTAATAACTCAAAAAGTGTATTTTCTTGTTAAGGTTTATTGCACATATGTAAATAATATCGCACTTGCGCAAATACATTTAAATATAAAAAGAAAAAACAATTAAATATTTTTGAATAAGGACTGTTTCGGCCAGTAATAGCTCACATAAATAAAATGTGTCTCATTTTGAGTTTAGTATATATATTTTGTTTGTTTTTTACAAAATTCTAACGACGGTTTTATTGAATTATAGAGAATCAAATTTTACGTTCAAAAATGATAGAATCTTGAATTTCACATATTTCGAAGTGAGATTTATTCAACATCGGATCTAAATCGCTTATTCTCAAATTTTGAAACAAACCAACATTTCCGATTCTTTCAAACTGGTATGGTATCAGTTTATTACACATACACTACGCATTTTTATTTAGTAAACCAGATGGTATAAAAAAGACTCAAACAATTTTTTTCTTCACCGGTAAAGTCAACGTAAAGTTGTAAAAATTGAGATAGTACCGGTTGCCAGTTCACAGTCGTTATGTCGAATAACCGTTATGCAAGGTATTGGAATTATACTGCGCTCAAAATTGTCACTACTTTTCTCTACGCCGCATTGCTTATATATTGATTCAATATAATTATTACGCTTTATCACTGACGGCTGATCCCGTCAACAAGCATAGCTGTACTGCTATAGTACTTGCAAATGTTTCTTGTGCATGAGAAAATACGGCTATGACAGTACTAAGGTGTTTGCCGTTGTGAGATGAAATTACAAAAACAAATTGGAAGATAGTAAGTGAGGTGATTTTGATTACTAATAGTATTTAAACCAAATCGAAGTAAATCATCACCTACATCTCATAAAATATCTACCTAACTAACCTGATTTAAAGTATAAAAACACGTTTCATAATTATGTACTAAAGAAACTCTATTGCAGTACACATTGTTGACTAACTGAATTACTAAAATATTATGCATAATATAAAAATAATAAAATATTATACGTTTAAAGCCAAAACATAAGCATAATTTAACTGCTCAAATTACAAATGTAATCTAAGTTTAACTGTCAGAATGTTCCAACGCAAACAAGATAAACAACCACAAAACGCACTCACTGGCGAAG